ACCAGATCGCACTAAAAGAAAAAAAATAACAGATATAGTAGTAGCGCCGATGCGAACTGTCATGTGGCTATGAACGTACTAGTCCGTAGGTGTCTTTCACAAGAGGGGCGAGTCTTTTTCCCGTCTCTCTAGGCCAGATAAGAAGGGCCATATGAGAAGTTTTGTGAAAATTAACTTAAAACTTCGCAGCAAACCAGTCTTAACGGTTCTCTGGAGGAGAATAAAAGCTATCGATTATGGCCAACATGGCTTGGCAAGTCGACGAAACGAGGAGCTGCCTAAGATGGGGATTCTGGAAACTTTTTTCTTTTACGGGCAAACAGTCGGTTGATAGGATTACATTAGTGACATTGAAAAAAAAAGAGTTTTGCTCAACTCCTTCAGAAAAAACAATGAAAATTATGAAATTCAGGAGAATTGGCTGAATGTAAGATATATTTTGCATGTGACCATTCCAAATTAATCCACATTTTTGTCGATCAAAAGACAATAAACGGAACTCAGCCCAGAGATTCTATATGGGCCAACATAACAGATTATTCAAAAAATAACAAAATTCAGCAATTATACAAGGTAACTAAAATCTCACAAGCATGGCATTTATCCATCGCCTCGCTGCAATCGAGTCGAGCCCACAGATGACTAGAGAAAACTGACGATAAAAGGATGGTGGCTTGTCTTCGATCCGGCAGTTATGACTAGAATACCAATGAAAAAGAAAAGTTAAAAAACAGCATCTTTGAAACATCACAAGCAATGAAATATGACTGACGCTGTTACCGTGCAACCGCTGACTCGATTTTGCACGAAGGCGGCTGCTACCTCTGCTTTAGACTTTCCCACATCCGACATCCTGAAAATAATAAAACTCGACACTCTTGTACCTTGCAAGCTTGTTTTTATTATAGATGGAAGACGACGCTTCCGATTTGAATGTCTTCTTCAGAGACTAGGATCTCAAAGAAGGTAATCGAAATCCGAAGCAAATGCTCAACTGGGCAATATGTTAGAGCACAATTCCTGGTCATAACGTTTTTAATCATCACGTGTTATTCACTTATGTAAAAGATGATCTAAGCTGCGGTTGGCTTATGGAGATGGCTGGATGAGTGCTAAATCTTTGGAAAAAAGTTTGTGTAAAGCAGCGCTATGGTAGCTTCTGCAGGTTATCACATTAACCACTCTTAAGTGCAATTCCTGGAGAATAAAAATGATGCCACATAACGACACAAAGCCACAGTATAAGTATTGAGCGTCAGGAGACTGGATTGTTCAAATGAAGATGAATATAGCAATACGAATTCTATCACGGAAACAAAATATTTTACGGTCAATTCACAAGAAACGAACCTGAACAGAAACTGCCTGTTTAGGTTGCTAATGTCTATGGTATCCATATCAATAACGTCTAAATTTCGAAAGCCAGATAGGGCCTGAAACAAAAATCAAACAAAGAAGCTACGTATTAGGATGAGGAAACAGTTATAGGAAGGAAATTTTGACTTGCTAGGTTTTTGAGCAGTTCGCAACCTAGACCTCCAGCTCCCACAACGAGAACTCGCATTTTTTGAAGAGCTGCCATGTTCTAAATGTTTTACATGAATTTTCTATAGAACCCCATATTGTTAGTAATTTGATAACAATTTTACTACCTACCTCAGGACCTGGCTCAAACCACGGCACTGCATAAGCTGACGGCCTGTCCGTCAGTCGACGAACGTCTCGCCATCTCTCCTTTCTCAGTGGATCCGAACACACCGTATCCGCCATACGCAATCACCTACTCGCTACATACAAATCATAACTGACATAAGCGCACCGTGAAAATCACCACTTAGTAAACAAAATACAAAATCATAAACAAACAACGCCTCATGTAAACAGAAACCGTAATGTGAGTACCTACTCCCACCTTGGATGTGCTCACTATATCATAACTCTCTGAGTTTCTGAGTAGAATCATGGAAGTTGTTCTGTATCTTTGACTTCAAAAATCGAACGTAAAATGTCAATACTGAT